CGGGCCGGGTCCCGCGGGCGGCTCCCCCAGACGGGCCGGTCGGGTTCCGCGTCAGCGGGGGCGGGCGCCGTGCTGGGCGAGGGTCGTCCTAGAGGAGTCTCCGGGAGGGCAGAGCGGCGCGGGTTGCTTGCAGAGCCCTTGGGGAGCCCCGGCGCCGGCACCTGCGAAGTACCGGACTCCGGTGTGTTTCGCCAGTCGTGGCTCTCAGCAGTGCCTGGCGGAGGTGTGTGTGTGTGTGTGCGTGAAATAAAAAGAAATCTTCCTTGTCTTACTGCCGTAGTTGATTGAAACTTTCGAATGACAAAAGCATCCAGGAGAGCTAAACCTTTTGGGAGGGAGGGGGACTTTTAAATTTTTTGGGGAGGGAGGGAATAAAACACTTCCTTGTGTAAGGAATCTTAATTATGTTTAGTTGACAGGTGCAAGAACTGTTTGGATAGATGGTTTTCCATTGGGATATCTGACCTTTTAGAAAGGAGTACTTGTTTTGAAGGAGGGATGTGCATTCACTATGGGGCTTTGCACAATAGTGGGGTGGTGGCTGGGAGGAGGGGAGGGAGGGCTGTTTGTGTTTGCGTGTGTATGTGTTAGGGGTCCGTGGAACTTGTACTGTTTTGAGATCACTGTGGTAATGAATAGTCTGAAGCAAAAAGATGCATTGGCACTAGGAATTAACAGAATTAGCAGCGTTATTACATGACTTTTTTCTTGTTGGCAGTTTTAAGTTTTTAGTAAAAGTGACTGACAGTTTTGTGTTGGCCCTGTAATGGTGATGATAACTAAATTGATGTTTTGTTTGGTTTTTTGTTTTTTTGTTTTTTGTTTTTTTTTTTCCTCTGCCCTGATCACTTAGTCTCTGAGCTGTTATGATCAGAGCTTTCAAAGGCAGTGCAAATGACTGCTTGAAGTCCTGGGGCTGGGCTCTCAGCTTTGAGTGGGTGAAAGTGCTGGAACAGTACATCAGAAATCCTATGCTCCTTGGATTTTACCTTCTGGAGATCAAGATGGGAGGGGTTCCGAATTTGATAAATTCTCCTACATTCAGGAGATAATAAAACTTGCCCACTATTGCCAGCTTCCCAATATCTTTAATTTTCCTCCCTTTCTGTCCCCTAATTGGAACTACCCCACCCTGCAGGCAGTGCTCATGGCATGCACTGCGCGTCTGCTCCTCTGGCCAGCACAAAACTCTGGTGTTTGCATTGCATTTCTTCCAAAGGCCAGTTCCATGCCTTTGCCCAGTTTGCTTTAGTCATTGAAATTCTGGCGGAGCCCACTTGATTTTGTTTGTAACTTGAAACAATTTCTCTCAGCAGAGCCCCAAGGCACGAGTATGGCCAGCCCTAAAGCCACAGGGCTCTTCTGGGAGATCACTTGGCTTGCTATTGCTATCTATGCTCATCTACAGGTAGGTAATGATCTTGTTGCTATTGTCATGCCTGGTCCTTTATCAGATGATCTTGCTGCACACTTTGAATTACTCTTTTTTAAACAGAAAACTGCTGAAGGAACTGCACTGTAAATAAAAGGCTCCCGATGAGAAGGTTTTCCTTTCACTGTACTGAATTTCAAAGACATCCATGTGGGAAATTAATATTCTTTCTCTTCCTAGTAATATCGTACCTGACTTTACTATATGGAGACCAAAGGGAGAGATGTTGCCAGATGTGTAATGCCATGGGTCTTTCTAGGCAGAACAGCTGCTCTTTGCCCTGAGGAGGTTTAGCACCTGATAAATGTTAAGATACTGTAAGTGACAAGGGTTATATAAATACCTGGGTAGAAACATCTAAAGCACTCGGAAGTCAGTGTTGGGGCAAGGGGGGAAGGTGGTCCAAAACGGTCTTTGCTTCAAGTGTTCAATGAATACAGGAACCACAGAGGAAAACCATAGCTGCCAACTGATCTATTGCCTGACACATGAGCCTAATCGGTTCCAAGAAGTGAGTATTTCAAGAAATATGGTGTGCTGGCATGCAGCAGAGATGTTGTTATAGTATGTCATTCTCTATACTGATAGTTGCCACAGCACAGAACGTTTCAAGGATTCTTCAGTCTTAAGTACACCCAAATCCAGAAATCCTTAGAAAAGGACAACTAAATAAACTGAAAAATATCTTTTGAAATAAATAGCATTGTTTTTTGAAGAATTGTAGTAGTTTTTGTTTGTAGTATTGCAATGCTGAGAAATGGTCATTTCAAACTGGAGCCTGGTATACTGGGCATTATATAAATGTACATCCTGAAGAATTTTGAATTGAGGGATAATATAGCAGGCGAAAGTAAATTCAAAAGGAGTATGAAGAACTGAGGAGACTGTACTAGACAGCTGAGTACGCTATGATTGATTTAGGGTGGACTTTGAGGTTTAAGGTAGGGGGAATGGGGCTATCCTCAGTAACACTGCTGAATGCACAGTCTGCTGTGAGTCATTTGGCAGCTACCTGTTGAGGAACACCTCCTGTATCTGTATTATGGTTGCAGCTAGTCATGAAAGTACGCTTGTTACTTGAGTAAAGGACTTGCCATTAAAGTAAAAATTATTAGATTCATATTAATTGTGCAGTAAAACGCAGTGCATTCAGTGCACGCCCAAGCAGATAGGGCAAGAGTGGGATCTTCTGCTTTTTGCTGTGCCTGTTCAGCTTGTACTTTTGTGTGCAAGCAGTTGAGTGATGCTGTAATAATGGGCCCTATAAAATGCTCAAAAAGTAGTATGTAAAGTTCACTTAATAGTTCTCTTCAAGATGAGAATAGAAGTTCAGAGAAGGGAAATGTCAACTTTGTGTTTGGGCCTTTTGGTTATGAAGAGACTTTTTTTTTTATATACAATATTTTTCTTGTATTTTTTTCTTTCATATTTTTCTTATTGTAGAACTGGAACCAGTAGTGGCATAGTTTCCTTTTCTCCACGAATGGTTTGGCATAGCTTCACTTGTCTCTTTGTAATAAAAACAACCCAAACACATTGTAGTAATCAATAGGCTATTGTGAGTAGCTTTATGAACATTTCAATCCAGGTCAAATTTTTTGGTCTTGATTGTCCTTTAAAATATCCTAATCTATTTGGCATATTTGAGTCATTAGCACTTAACCCCAATCTTGTAGGAGGCCCTTGTGCTCCTAAGTTTTAGGTGTTTTATCACAATTTTAGGCACATTAAAGATATTTTATATTATTTAACATAACATTTTTGGTATCCAATAACCATTAATTCTTTAATTGGTTGCTTGGGGCCATACTATATGGACCACACACAGTCATTCTACCCTAATATTGTACCATAGGTTCTACTTGTGTTGTTTTTGGCTATTAAAGTGCTTATGTCTGGAGCTAATCAATTAGAAACAATTGGATGCTGGGCAAGGTCACAAGTCTATGTCATGTCACTTATGTGCAATTGATTAATTTCATCCTGCTTGAGGCAGGTACAGAATAAAATAATGACCATTTTAAAAGAATGTGGTGGAAATGTGGTATGAATGTAACGCAAAGAAAACTTTAACATGAGAAGTTGTGAAAAAGAGGTAGCTGTTACTGTGAAGAAATGAAAGTTAACTTTGGTTATAGGAGCCCTTTCTGATTCTTCATAGCATGGTAACAAGCACAGCATGGTGTATAGCTAGGCTCCAAACTGAACTCTGCCCTTACAGATACATAGCATCTCAAGTTTGACAATTATTTTTTCAGGGGCAGATTAGTCACAGGTAAGTTAGATTTCATAGGATAACCCAATGAATAGTTTACCACTGAGCATTGCTGAGCTGCCTGTTCATTAATTCTGCTCTGTGACCAAGAGCAGTGGCATAAATGACTCAGGAGATCACTTATGGGCTAGCCTTGGCTGTGTTCTTTTGCGTACATAGAGCCTACTTTCTCTGATATGTACCAATACAAATGAAATTATTGGAACTGTGTTAGTCTAAAGCCAATGGTGATCCAAGCAAATGAAGTCTGTATGTTTTTCTTAAAAACAAACAAAAAAACCTCCACCACCAAATGGTAGCAGCAACATGGAATAATTCATTTTTTCTAAAGATTTAAATGATGAATCTATCCAAAGAAGTTACTGTATTCTACAGACTGTATGTATTTGTGAACATTAACTATACCCTTGGCCTTGAATGTAACTATTCATGTGTATTTATTGCTAAATATGGTGTAAAAGGCTCCTAATTTTTCTCACATGATAGCAGGTGAGCTATCAATACTACAGATTTTAGGAGATGATTAAGCTAATAGACGTATCCAAGTCCAATTTTGCTGCTTTCAAGTGATCTCTTGAGTACCTGTGGCTCCATATTGGTAACTGAAAAGGCAGAATGCTCAGCCTGGTAACCAACTCTTTCTTAACCTTGTGATAGCATTTTATTACACCATTCAGCTAGATGCTGTTATATTTGTTACAAAATGTATGTAAGACTGTGTATCTCTATATTCTTACTAATGGATTAATGGCAGCAAGAAATGATGGTTAGGAGATTCATATAGATAAATATATATCATCAAGAATTTTACACATGGGTTCATTTTAGATTTAATCTCTGGTATGTTGTTTTCAAATCAGGAATATGCTGCTATTTTCTTAGGTTCCTACAGTCCAAATCAAACCCTGTACAAATCAGTCCGTTTCACCTCCAAAGACCATAGGGTTGCTAATGTCTGAGGAGGGAATAACAGGAAAGACGCCATGTCTGGATATTTAAGAAGCATTAGCTGTGGGTTTCTGTGGAAGGAGAAGTTTCATAGGTCACATATTCATTGAATAAATTGTTGGTTGCTCCCATGATTTATGTTTCTGCAATTCCTGCCTGCATTATGGTTTTTTTCTATCTATTTTGGATATAAAGGATATACATGCTGAAAACATTATCAGATTCAAAATGATTCTGCCATAACCAATCTGCCAAAAACTACCAACATAGTAAATGTCTTTAAGGTTGAGTTTTGCAAGGCCAAAAATCTGATGTCCATTATATGACATAGTGGACTTGGACTCCATCTTTGTGGATAACCTTTGGAGTATTGTTTTACAGTCACTGAATGTATTGCACACCAATGTTCAGAAAATACACTATGATCTACGTGCCATACAATGGTAAGGATTCTTAAATCTCCAGTAACGTTAATCAAAAATATTAGGGTGAGATTTGCAAGTCCAGAGTTAAATCTGAAGCAGTTTCCCTTTTTTTTGTAGGCAGGTTGCAAATTCTGCACCCATCTGGAGTTTTAGTATCAGCCTCGATAGGCCTGTGGTTTTGTTCTTAGTTTGAAGATTGAAATGCTTCTACTATAGAAAAATAACACTTTTGAGACTCTGTAGGAGTGTTCTGACTTAGAATATTCGTTGTTATTGACAAGGTTGTAACTCAGTGACAGCGTTACCAGAAAACTTCTGTAAGTTTCTGAACTTGCTTTGAATTTATGACTAATAATGATTGCTCAGCCGGTGCTCATAAGATCTGAACTGCTGTTACCCCCAATTTACAATCCAAAAGAGTTGAATTGCCAGAAAAATTGTGATGAATCTGTCTTGTGACTTGAGACACAAACTGTGTATGAATACTTATTTTTTTAAAATGTACTCATAAAAAATTTAAATCAACTATGGGAGGTGACCAAGAGTACAGATGATACCAGTGAAGGCATCCTTTTACTATCTAATTTATTTGTTTTCATTTTCTCAGTAAACATTTTTATCACAGTGATTATGAATGATGCTTGCAGTGATACAACTCAAAATCAATCTTTGGTTATTCAGCTAAAGCATGGTCCAAACCCATTCATTCCAATGTGGCAAAGGTGGTTTAATCTCAATATCCAGCTAGATTTTGAATTCTCTATCTACATCTTCAGACATGGGTATCAATGGTCACTGTGATGATAATTTCTGATGAGGTTACAGAGACAGGCAGAGATTCTCAAATCACTTGTGTGTAGAACTGCAAATTGCTGGTTCCAAAACTAGGTATCCAAGAGTCAAACACTTTTAGAGAAGCCTCAAGTGTAGGAATAATCTCTTACCACAGCCTGTGGCTTCTAATTTCTCTTGAGAAAGTAGTAAAGAAATGAAGGAATAGCTCTAGGATGATCTTTGGTTTTAGCAGATACTTGAACACTTAGTCATTGATGATTACTCATTTAGGTCTGCTTGGTGCATCTGGATCCTTCATATTCCTTACCAAATTGGGGCATAAACAGCACTGAGGTGGCAGTTTTGCACAGTGTACCAAATTCCATTCCTGCCTTTGCATCACAGAAAATGTACGTGACTGATTGTACTGACATTAAAGCCCTTTTACTGTTCGTTCAGAAATCATGATTTGGCCATCCAAAATAATGAGTTTTGCTTGAAAAGAACATAAATTTTAAAATCTGAGTCCTTTTTATTTGAGTTTACTTCTAGAA